ATATAATAGTTCAATATATTATAAGATAAAATTAAAAAAACACTTATAATATCTTGAACTATCATATACTATTCTTGGATTTGTTATATATTTGTAAATATAAAATAATAATTTAAATCAAGAGACTCTTTTCTCATAGATTTATTTAAAAGATAATAATATAATATTTTCTAAAATATATACCTTAAAAGTAAAATCATGAGGACCAATTAAGGTCAGACGCATATAGTCTACACAATCGAATGATATGACATTACTTGAGCCAACCAAGCTCAGTCGACATCACAATAATGTGGCATCATTTAAACGTGTTCGATCAACATAGTATTAGGATAAAAATATTGTTAATATTAGGCAGAAAGTTTCTCTGCACTTACTTCCAAACTCTTCCAACCATATCGACTCCTCATAATGATCATAGGGTAAGACATTAAAAAGTGCTTTCATCGTATATAATAAAGATAATAATGATTCCACACGTGATAATTCAATTAGCTCGATAAAAAAAAGAGATAAGTACTAAACAAATATTTTGCTCATATCTTAAAATAATCTCCTGAGTTAAATCCACTATAAAATCCATTAGGTCACAATAATCAAAGTAAATAATTATTTATTAAAAAATTTTACTCAGTTCAATGATCGGATTAAGTCATAAATCTTATATGATCTCAGTCTTTATATAGATCGATTATTGAGCATTTAGTCACACTAGACTTTTTATGCATCGTATCGTATGGGACTTATTTAAATATCATCTATTTCAATATCATAAGTGCTCGTTCAATTTTTACATAGAATAGTATATATTTTTGACGCTAACAATTATTAAGTTATCATTCGAATATGATATTGCCCGATGACATCCAAACAACTAATCATCCAATTATCTTCGTATATTTCGAGTATCAAGCATTCCATCACACTAGACTTCTTACGCATCGAATCGGACTAATCCAAACGTCACTTATTTCAATATCATAAGTGCTTGTTCGATTTTTAAATATAATAATATAATAATTTCTGACATTAATAATCATTAAATTATCATTCGAAGATGATAATGCTCGTACGGTGACATCCAAACAACCATCCAATTGCAAGTCCAACATTGGTTCGCCGATGCTCGAATCGTAGGCACATCGAACACAGCCACCACGAAATCCAACTACGGCACACATCAGTTGGCAATCTTTTCCGAGGGGGGGAAGTCTTCTGACTTGTCAACACATACTGCCTTGCGAAACCTGAAATATGTAAGGGAGGAAGTCATTTGACTTGTCATTTGTTTTGATGAGTTAGATGATAGTTGGCACGTAGCCACAACGTGACAACTTCAATGGTGGACTGAGCTTTAGCTATTTCAACTCTCTTTAGAAAACATGACATGCTTTCTAATTCGGTGATTAGCTCGCGACCAATTTGCCATTCTAATTTATTCTTAGAAAGTTCAAACCTTATATGCATAAAATTTGAGATTATTAGTATCAATTTCGATCGAGATCGATCAGAAAGTAATTTATCTTGGAGTGAATTAAGATTTAAAATATCGATAAAAATGCTCGATATGCAATATATTTCTTTATGTCTAGTTGATTTACCAATCCGATCCATAGGGATTTTTTGATGTTTCTTTTATTTCATGTTAATTTGGAAATAAGAGTCTTGGTTGGTATATGATGATTCATCATTTTAAATAAGATAAAATTGTTAGAGTTTCTTAACATCAATAAGAGAAAATATTATTTTTATATACCTAACCTTTGCATATATATATATATATTTATTTGATATGATATCTAACACATACACTGTTTTGACTCCCCAAATAATGCTTTATTTGTTCCATCATAAAATAAATATTAAGATTCTCTGATTATTATTATAATACGCCATAAATGGAACCCCACAACTCCATTGGCATAAACCACAGCTGCCACGTGCCGACCGCGTGACAGTTTCCTCGGGTCGCGGCGGTACTTCGCTTTCTCCGCAAGCGTCCCAAAAAGGCGCACCCACTGGCCAACCCACGCGGGACCCGATGCGTCTCCTCCACGCCATCCGCTCCGCACTGTCAGCGGTGCAATCGCAGCCGTCCGATGGCCAAACCCTCTGGGCCCACCAGAAACGCGTCTTCCATGGTCCTTCCCGTTAGGACCGACGCTGCACGGATCGCGAAGCCGTTCCAACGGTCAATGATGGTGCGCCGCGACGCGCGGGGGGACTCCTTCCTCGCCGTCTTAGAACGGTAGGGACGCGTCGCGCTCCCCGGTGGGGCCGGACGGTGGCATTGGTGGTTCGGACTCCCGTACTCCCGGAGCCGATTTGTTTAGGCCAATGGCAGCAAAAGCCTCTATTTAAGGAGAAGAAGCGGGAAGCCAAACTCCATCTCCTCTCTGTCTCTCTCTCTCTCTCAACCTTCTTTGCTTTCCTTTACCGACAAGTGGAATCCATTTCCGGCCCTTCTTTCCCATCTCGCTTCGGTCTCGTGGACACCCGGGACCGGGTTCAGCTCCTCCGTCCCCGTTTCGAGGTACAGATTCGCGAAGATCGTTCTCCGGAGGCCTTGGATCTGGTTTTCTCGGGGTTTTGATTAGGGTTTGGGCTTCGACTTGATGCGATTTTGATTACTTGGATCGGATCATTTGGGGTTCTTTCATAGGTTTTCTTTGCTCGAGCTTAGATGATTCGTGTTTTATTTTTCACTCGTTCAGATCTCTGTAGGCTGTTCTGTTATGTTTCCCAGACTCGCCCAAGTTTTGTGTTGGAATCCGTAAGTTTGAACGTTTGTGTTCAAGAAACATGCTTCCATTTTCTTTGAAAAGATCTCTCTCCGTGAGGGCTACAGATTTAGCTGTCTTCTCTTCCTCTTGGTAAATCTGCAGTGACGAGTCCGGTGCTCTAAAATGTGACGAGGGTTTTACTACGCAAATACCCTTATATGCCCCTTATTTATAGCGAGACAAATGTATGCCATACGTTGCTTTTTTTTTTTTTGAAATTACTTGGTGCTTCAATGCAGAAGTCACATAGATGTGTAGGTTTATTGTGTTGATTTTGTGTGGAATCCGCGTAACAGGGGATGAGGTTTAGCTGTCTTCCTTTCTTTCTTCGGATCTGATGATGGACTATGAGCTCCGAGCTTTGTGATGACGTTGCTGCTTCATGATCGCTTTTTGTCCATGAAGGTCCTTCACCTGCCCATTAGAGTAACGCGTATTACTTTAGGCCAGAACATTTTAGATCTTTGGACATGAACAGTTGGTTAGAAGAGGCCCAAATCATGTGCCGATTTACTAGCTTGTTGATCGGCAACGATTGTCTTCTCCATATGATGTATCATGGATCTGGTTCATAAATCAGCCATAATTAAGCTAGGGATGTACAACTTTTGATGAATAATTGTCTTGACATGAAGGGGGTTCGTCCTCCTCTATACTTCTGATGATCTAAATCTTTAATTTTCTTAAATATTTTTGTTTGAATAGGTTTTTAACATTTCATTCATCGCCGGTAAATACCTGGTCTACGTTTGGACAACTACACCTTTATAATAAAATTATGAGTATTATTGATGTTGAAAATTGATTGTATGTTTATCAGGTGCTGTAATGGCTCCGCCTCTTCAAGCATCAACTAAGGCTTCTGACTTCCAACTTTCTCGTTCACCTCTCAATGAAAGAATCCTTTCATCCATGTCTCGAAGGTCTGTTGCAGCACATCCTTGGCATGATCTTGAAATAGGTATTTGATATCCTAATAAGAAGTTTCATACAATTTTTTCCTCATTTGTGTCTCCATTCTAATTCGTTTCTAATTGGACTTTGGATTTTGCATGCAGGTCCTGCTGCCCCTAAAATTTTCAACTGTGTGAGGACACTGCACTTTTTATGAATGAATTCTGACTTCTTTAAAAGTTTGATGTTAAACAGTTAAGGAAATGAGGTGTTAGAAAATTAAAGTTGGTAACTTTGTTTGGTTTGGCATGAATATGATGTATGTGTAACCTAGCTAACATATTCTACCCTGGGATTCTTTGTCACTTTATCATCACTTCACTATTCAGACATACAAATTTTAAAGTGTTCAGTTATGTGGATCAAAAGGATACTTTATATCTGTACTCAAAATAGGACACCAGAAATAAGGTTAAACAAATACTCGAACCTTTCAGGTGGTGGAAATAACAAGGGGAAGCAAAGTGAAATATGAACTTGACAAGAAAACTGGGCTGATCAAGGTATGCATGGCTACTTGACTCTCTTCCTTTTTGCTTTCTGAAATAATTTTCATATGTGCTTCATCTATACAGGTCGATCGTGTGCTTTACTCATCGGTGGTGTACCCTCATAATTATGGTTTCATCCCACGCACTCTTTGTGAAGATAATGATCCTATGGATGTGTTGGTTATAATGCAGGTTTGTGGCATTCGAGTTCCCCAGGGTCGTATTGCTTAGACGTGAATATACATTTTTGCAGAGAGAGCATATCATAGATACCACTGCAGAAGCAACACCTCTCACTTCCCAATACTTGTAGTGTGAGATAGAATATGCATAATGGCCAAGTTGCAAAGGGCTCCTCTAGTTCATTATTTACGCTTGCATCCTTTTCTTCTCTATCCTTATAGTTGTTCCGCTAGTTTAGGGGAACCGGTTAAAAGAGTTATAACTGTTGCTGTTCAACAGGAACCAGTGATTCCAGGATGTTTTCTTCGAGCTAAAGCCATAGGTCTGATGCCTATGATTGATCAGGTCTGGTTTCTGCATAACAGATAAGTTGGACCTTTTGATTCATAATTCTGGAATGACCTTGGTAAAGAGGAGCTGACTCAATTTTATGCTGTCTGAAACAGGGAGAGAAAGATGACAAGATAATTGCTGTTTGTGCAGATGATCCTGAATACAAGCATTACAATGATATTAAGGAGCTCCCACCTCATCGTTTAGCAGAGATCAGGCGCTTCTTTGAAGATTGTATCCTCTTATATCTACCACCAGAATCATATTACATAGACAACTTATCTGCGTGATGTTATCCGCAAAGAGTTGTTGCCAATCTAATCACCAGACTTAGTAGGTCCACTCCACACGTTTAAATGTTTGTCATTTGCAACGATTGATCAGTAACTCACCAAGAAGAGCGGCAGCCAGTTGATGATACACTCACCAACACTGATTTTGAAAGAGTCAATATATGCAGTGTTATCATGACTTGAATCTAGTTTATCCATGCTGCTGATAGGGTAGAAATTCTGCACTGCATAATAATTTTTTTTAATCCTGCTTCTGGAGCACTGGCCTTCAAATTAATTGTAATGTGTGTTCATCCCCTTTTTTGCCTTTTACTATCTTTTGCTAAGCAGTTGGCAGGTATTGGTCTCGTAGCGACAGTAGACTTCTGATGATGTTCATTGCAAAAGATACATGCAACTAGGCCATGTGTTAACTGAATACGTTCTTCAAAATATAACTCCACAAGTCAACTAGTACATTCTCTTAAGATATGAGGTTTTTGCCTCGGTAGTGTAAGTTCTCCTTGACCATAGGATCTCAGATAAGAAGAATGAAAACAAGGAAGTTGCTGTAAATGATTTCCTGCCTGCATCTTCAGCTTACGAAGCCATTCAACATTCCATGTAAGTCTTACCCTGTTGTCATTTCTTCATATAATTGACTGACTATTTGCTTATCTGATGCATACCACAGGATTGGTGTGATGTGTTCAAACAGATATTTATGCAAAAACTAGATGTATTTTATTTCATGATATGGAAGGGATTAAATTCTTTAGGTCTCCAAGGTCCAAACGTGGAACCTTTTCTATGATATGGTTCCCAACCACTCATTCAAAGCCTCACTATTTACCACAAACATTTGTGTTTTTGTATGTGAAAAAAATGAATAGGACTGCAGGCATAACTTCTTTTCTTGTAAAACGAAAAGCCTAAAATCAATTCTAGAAAATGCAATTTGCAGTCTTCAACTCTATCGAATATTGACTATTCAGATGCAAAATAATTTGGGCCATATTCGATTCTGGATCGAAACCTATGTCTAGGTGGTTTGTTTTATTTCTGTAGCAGAAAAACATCAGATATGTTTATTATTTTCATATCCTGATCTATCTAATTTTGACTTTTTAAACGATGTTTGCAGGGATCTTTATGCCAATTACATTGTCGAAAGCTTGAGGAGGTAGGAGGCAGGAGGCAGGAGGCGAACCGAGGGATGATGCATCTGGACGATTTTACTGTTTCTTTCACGTGGTAATATTTTATACGTAAGTAAATGCTTATATTCGGAGGGATTCGAATGGTATTGTCGAGACAGAAGATAAATATGCTTAATGAGTTTGTTGTTGTTTATCTTATATGAAAATTTGCCAATTTGAGTATAACCAAAAGGGCATTGTGCGCATTTAATGTGCTATATATATATATTCTCTCTCGGTGGGTGCGATCAGTGCAGGGAAGTTGCTCGTTTATGTGATTGTGTACGCTGATTTCTTCTAATCTTATAATCAGCAACTATCTACATGTATCACATCCGAGCTGTCTATTTCAAAATGTGAGCATCAACATGTTTATGAAAATTATGCATTAATAGGTAATTGGATTTGGGTGAATTTTTATTTTTATTTTTTACTTTTAGTATTTCTCGTAGAGCATCCAAATTTTTTTTGAAATATTATCCTTTTTTCAAATGATTATTTTGTCCTTATCGGTCATTACTCTTTATCGCACTCGAAAGTCTCGTTTGTTGATCTTTGTTATGATCGATTGTGGTTCTTCCTCGCATGAGGAAGGACTCCCCCATTGGCCCTTGTGTCGATGATCATCGATAAAAGAGGAGGGAGAAGAGTCTAGAGAGGAAGTAGGCGGTGATAGATAGGAAGTAGGCGGTGATAGATCTGATGGGGACTAGTGGGGTTCGTAGAGGCGATCATAGCCTTTACATCCCCTCCTACCTCATGTTAAGGGCCAGAGTCGACAAACTAAGCATCTAAGTATGGGATGAGGCAAGAGTCGACAAACTAAGCATCTAAGTATGGGATGAGGCATGACTAACGTTGGGCCTACAATACAAAAATTTCTTAAGATTTTTTTTCGGGAATTCAATAATTGGATTTTGCCTTTTTTTAATCATATTTTCTTTCTTTTCTTGAGAAATTAACCATAATTTTGAGAGAAAAGTTCACGCATATGCAACGAGATTAAAATGATTCTAACACATCTAATATATTAAGAAATTTGATCTACTATTAACTAGAAAGGCCGAGAAAGTTTCAAAAAACGAAGAAGTGCAAACGAAGGGGACTGTCAACTCAATGTTGAATAAATTAAGGCGAGTAATTGTTCGTGATGGCTTTGGACTCGATTACGAATCGGGCTTCAATCGACTATCACATTTAGTTAATACATTTAACTTTTGTTAGTAATGCACGATTTCTCATTTCCAAAATGTCGAAAGAGATACTTTTAAAATAATAAAAATATCATCACTAATAGCTAACATGTTTGATTTCTGAGTTTTTTTTTAATTATTGAAACACAAATTATATGGAAGTAGTTAAACCAGTTCGGTGTTAAACCGAGCCGATTACCCTATTTTTGAATAGGGTTATTGAACCAAAAATACTAAAAATCAATCTATATTAATTCATGTTCTTATAGATATTAATTATGAGTCTTATTATATGTATTAAGTTTCATAAAATATTTTTATTTGAGAGTTTTTAAGTGGTTTTTAATGAAAATTAAGAATATTTTGATATATTTTATAATAAAGGATGATGATTTTTTTATTTCTTTTTACATAACCTTAAATGTGGACCTATAATTTTTAAAAGATCTTATATTTTTATTTATTAAAACTATGATAATATAAAAATCATTCGTATTTTTTATCATTCAATTAAAATAAAAACATTGTGGCTTAGTTTCAAGTAATTAAAATTTTTACTAACAATAAATGTCAATTTTATCATAGGCTCAGAGGTATTATAAAATTATTAATATAAGAATTTGAATGATTTTGGAGGAGAATTATAGTGTTTTTCATTTATTTTAAAATAAATCAAGCTAAAAGTTTTGATTTTTCTACTTTGTCTTATATTTAGGATTAAATATTTAAAAAAATCTTATAATTTTATAAAAAAAATTATCAAGGAATGATGATAAAAAAATTATTCTATTATATCATTTTCAATTGAGTTATAGTGTTTTTGGATCAATAATAAATACATTGTACTATAATTCTATTCCGATTTAATCTTAATTGAATTTTGATGGAAATTTATATTGAAAAAAATATTTTGATCTTTTCATAAAGGACTTTATTTGGGAATTATGGAAATGATGACTCTACGGCCTCGATCATGTGTCGGCTCACAAGATCCAGGCCGTCTAACTTACCTTACACGCATCTTAAGAAAGGCTTTCATCTGATGGACGGCCTTGATTCACAAGAGCCGACTTCCACTGCTGAGGGCCCAATCACCCGGTTAATTACCGAGCTCCGATCACACCACTCCCGTGTCCTTCACCCGTTGCAAGCCAGCGGTTCCCTTTTAGGGTTTTGGCCATAGTTTCGCCGCCTCCCCACGACGAATGGCGCTGTCGTCTTCTTCGTTTGCGCTACGCCGCCTCCTCAGGGTTTCTTCTTCTGCCTCCCTGCCCCAGTGGACCTGGTCACCCCTTTCAGCCTACCGCCAGAACTCTTCCTCCTCCTCCTCCTCCTCCTCCTCCTCCCCCTCTCCATCCATCTTTCCCTTCGACGACGACGCCGCCGCCTCCAACCTTCCTCCCCTTACGACGCCCAAGTTATTCGTTAGCGGTGAGCTCTCGTGTTTATGTATGTTTCGAATCCTTCTATTTGCTTGGAAATGCTCATCGATGTTGCGGATATTCCGTCGAACATATGTCGGGTCGAACGGATACAGTTGTTCATATAGGGAAAAAAAGAAGAGGTTTGCTCAGAAGGCTATTAGTTTTCCAATTAGTTTCAGAGTGCAATCTATAAACACTATTGCGTCCGCTCAGTTTTTATATTCTGTCTTGGTCAGATTTCTAACGTTCGTAGCCCCTCCGGTATAATTGCTTAATAGTGATAGCATTCGGAGTCCTATTCTGTAAGTGGTCTAATAGATTGGCTGCTTCTTTGTAATCCATTTGTTAGATTGAGTGCCCCAATAAGATGCATGGCAGAATTTTTTTTTTTTTTCTGGATTCTTCACAGGGAGCGTTTTTTGTGTATATGATAGTTTTCGTGAACAAAATAGGGAATAAGGCCAGTTGTTTGAACTATTTGTTGCAATCTGCTTAATGGATGTGTGGTCTCTGAAGGTCTAAATCCTGTGTTATCTAGGCGTGTCAACTAGGTCATATGGGTGCACAATCTCACTTGGCCTCTTCATGTGTCCTATACTTTATTGAACATAACCCCTAAGGATTGTTTCCAGTCTCGCATTTTGGACTTTGTTTCATGCAAACCATTCTTTTGAAATGGAAATTGTTGGGCCAACTTGAGAGAGTGGACATTACAGGAGTATACGGCTGCTCTTTTTTTGGGAGATGTTCATGTGAGTTCTAGATACTCAACACAAGGATGCTTTAGGTTTCATTTCTAATGTTTAAACAATTGAATATGAAGCCCAAGGTATAAGATTAACACTGGACATGACACCATGGCTGGTTTTGCTGTGTATTTGTTCTTAATTCATCTACATTAGAATGATATTCATATCAAAGTTCTATCTATGGGGCTAAACATGGTATTGGAGCAGCCGTCTTATGGTGTTTGTTTTGATATATTGCCTTTGACTGTAAGAATTAATTAAAGTGCCTGCCTATTACATGACTTGCCAATCGTATTTTGAATTTGTATCTTCCAAACTATTTGACAGAATACCTTAGCATTATCCAAGAAAAAAGGCCAAAAAATTGCCCTTGTGTTTTGTGATGACATCCATTTAGTGTAAAATTGTGTATAAGGTCCATAGGGCACATACTAAAGGATGCCCTCAATGGAGTAAGACATGAACGTAATTGGAGGTGCAAGACTGGGATGTCCTCTTAATCATACTAAAGGATGCCATTTATGCATAATTCTCCATGAATGATGCTCAGAGATTTATGTTTCCTTTTTTTGGCTTTTGCTCAAATAGTCCATCTGATTCTCATGTTAAACTACAGTTTTACTTTTTTTTTTGCTCTTTTCTTTTTTAGTTCCTATTTGCTTCTGAATGCAATGATTCCATCGAGTCCATAGCTCTTTGCGTGCTATGGACTATTGCCCTAGTGTAGCCTAGCCTTCGCGTGCTATAGTTTGTTTTCTACAAGCTACAGATTTGCAGTACGGTGCAAAGCGTTAACCATCTCAGCACCCTAGAACCACCCAGGTGGCATAGGGTTGGATGGGGGTTTGGGTTAGAGTTGGGCATTGATTGGATTTACAAGTTCGCACGTAAAGCTTACGAGAACTTGCTAACGTGTCTAACATCATTGTTTGTGGAATTGTGACTGTTCGTTTGCCTTCTAAAGTCATTGTTTTCTCCTTCCTTTTTTTTCTCTCTTGTGCATCAAGTGCTTGTTGAATTGCTTGTAAAGCTGCCTTCTTTTCGAGATGTCCAGGCTTGTCCACCACTCATTTTTGAAACTAATCAATTTGTTCTTTTACATGTCCTTTGAGACCAAAACGAGGTTGCAAATAGGTTGATCATTTGCGGATAGGTAACGCAAGGGTGCCTCACGACTTATATAATTCTAGTTATGTCCGTGATAGTAGGTTTTCATCACTTATGTCGGTTTCCTTCATTTTAACTGCAAAGTGCATTAGTGAATGTTGATGTTATCTTGAAAGAGTTTCTTATACTTTAAAAGTCCTGGTAAGTGCCTCTTATGTATTACGGCATGGAATTAAGGTTTGTATCTCTGTATCAATAGTAATGTAGCATGTCTAGCGGTGTAGTGTGACAGCACATCATCAACACACCAATGACATGTACACAATGCCTGAATCTGCAGTCTGAAACAGTTATGGCCTCTGTATGACAAAATAATTAACTGAATTCGAATAAAAACTGCATACAAGATTGAGTTTCTTGGTGATGTAAAGCTCTTCATATTTGAATGTTTTTTGGTTCTTGTGCTGATGCTGTACATAATAATCAAGATACTGTTTAAGTGAGCCTGACTTCCTCTAAACAATGTTCCCAGTTTTAGTTGTGCTTATACATTTTATGACAGTGAATTGATTGCATATGAAGTATCGACAATGACAGAATGGAGGGCTCTATTTTAATATATTCTCCATTATCGTGGCCATGGGCAAAACAATAGTCATTAATGAAAGCACTTATGTATGTCAAATAAATTCCAGAGATCTCTGCCT